AGTTGAGGTGAGTATGTTTCCTTCTTTCCAAATTCAAGATTTTATGTTATGTTCAGTGTTCCCCTTACATAGTTGTACATTTAATGTACTGATGTCATTTGGCCTGCATCGTTTCATGATGCAGATACAAGAGATAAAGGTCATCAACATGTGCTTCGTTGATACCATAGCAGTTCGAGTTAGCTTTGGTGAGCCTCCTTGCTTCCGGAGGATCCCTTATTTATTTCAATTATTTCAGTTTTGTTAGGATGATCGGGGATCTTGTCCCGATATCCCTCATAGTATTAGAGGCTTAATAGATAGACAGTAGTAGTTCATGAGTCTTTTTTCATTTCCATTGTTGATGTTTGAGACTCGAGTTGCCTTCTTTTGGCTAGTTGTATACATTTCTGAGTTATTATTTTGAGACATTGAGTTTTACTTTTAAATTTCTTTTATTGTTGAGTAAGTCTTCTGAGTATTGAGCCCGGCCAAGGGTTCGCTTGGGGCCACAAATGGTTCTCGAGTGCGAGTTACGTCCAGGGTGTAGGCTCGGGTAGTGACAAACTTGGTATCAGAGCACAATGTTCAAGAGTCTTAAGGTGTGTCAATGAAGCCCTGTCTGTAGAGTCCTAGTTATCGGTGTGAAGCGTGCCACATATATAATTAGGAGGTTGCGACATTTAGGAACTATCTCACTTTTTCGTACTCTTTTCGTTCGATAGAGTTTAACTCTATAAAGTTTCTTTCTAATTCGTGCTTGCGTGCATCTTTCAGTTCATGCCTCCACGAAGGGTTTTTCGAGGTTATCCTGCTAGGAGTAATGTTGATCTTCAGGATCAAGGGGTACCCAATGCACCAGAAGTGCAACGCCAAGGAGAGGTCACTAACGCTGAGTTCTGGGATGCTATCAGGATGTTGATTCAAGTGGTGACCCACCAAGCTGGGTAACAAAGAGGGAATCAACAGGATGTGGCTGATACATCCAGGATCCATGAGTTCTTAAGGATGAATCGTCCATACTTCACCAGTTTAAGTGTCATTGAGGATCTGGAAAACTTTATGGAAGAGTTGCAGAAGGTATTTGAGGTTATGCATGTTGTTGATGCTGATCGTGTGGAACTAGCTACATACCAACTGAAGGGTATTGCTAGAGTTTGGTACGACCAATGGAAGAAGAGTAGAGTGGAGGGTGCACCAATTGCGAGCTGGGTTGTGTTCTAAGAAGCCTTCATGGGGCGTTTCTTTCTCCGTGAATTGAGAGAGGCAAAAGTAAGGGAATTCCTCACTCTTAAGCAGGAATCCATGGGTATAGCCTCAAGTTCACTAAACTCTCTCGCTATGCTCCGGAGATAGTTGCTGACATGAGGAGCAGGATAAGTTTATTTGTATCTGGGTTGTCTCATTTGTCAAGCAAAGAGGGTAAGGCTGCGATGTTAATAGGGGACATATACATAGGTAGGCTGATGATCCATGTGCAACAGGTTAAAGAAGATAAGTTAAGAGATAGGGAAGATTTTCGAAACAAGAAGTCTAAGACAACGAAATGAGTCCGGGCAACAGAAGAGTAATGCGAACCGGTCATCTTTTCAACAAAAGCAAAATGGACCTGCTCCATCATCTGTTAGTGCACCTACACCAAGGAACATAGGTGAGTTTAAGAATCAAAATTCTCAGAATTTCAGAGCTAGACTTGCGCAATCTCAAGGTAGTGTGGCACAAAGAGGTAATGAGACTCCTGTATGTGCTAAGTGTGGTAGGAACCACCCAGGAGCATGTCGTTATGGCTCCACTGGTTGCTTCAAGTGTGGTCTTAATGGTCACTTCATGAGAGAGTTCCCTAAGAACAGGCAATGTAATGACAATGGGGGCAATAAGGTCCAATCTTCTTCAGTGGCTCTGTTAGACAGAGCTGCACCTAGAGGAGCTACTTTAGGGACATGCAGAGGGGCAAACCATCTGTATGCTATCACCAGTTGCCAAGAGCAAGGGAATTCACCTGATGTTGTTACTGGTATGATCAAAGTCTTTACTTTTGATGTTTATGCTTTACTTGATCCTGGTGCGAGTCTATCTTTTGTGACTTCATATATTACTATGAGGTTCGATATTATTCCCAGACAACTTCTTAAGCCCTTCAGTGTTTCCATACTTATTGGTGAGTCTATTATAGCTGAGAGAGTTTATCATGATTGTACCATTTTTTTCAATAACAAGGACACCATGGCTGACTTAGTCGAGCTAGATACAGTGGACTTTGATGTTATTCTAGGTATTGACTGGCTTCATGCTTGTTATGCCTTATTTGATTGTAGAACTCGAGTAGTCTAGTTCAGTTTCCAAATGAGCCAGTTTTTGAGTGAAGGAGTAGTTCAGTAGTGCCTAAAGATCGTTTCATTTCGTACCTTAAGGCCAGGAAGTTTGTTTCCAAGGGGTGCATCTATCACTTAGTCAGAGTTAATGACTCTAGCGTTGACACAACCTATTCAGTCAGTTCCAGTAGTGAATGAGTTTCCAGAGGTCTTTCCATATGATCTTTCCGGAGTCCCTCCGGAGAGAGAAATAGACTTCGGTATAGATATTCTTCGTGATACTCATCCTATCTCTATTCTGCCATATAGAATGGCTCCCACTGAGTTAAAATAGTTAAAATAACAGTTGAAAAACCTTCTTGATAAAGGTTTCATGCAACCAAGTGTCTCACCTTGGGGTGCTCCGATCTTATTTGAGAGGAAGAAAGATGGTTCTCTTAGGAGGTGTATTGATTACCGCCATTTGAAAAAGGTTACCATAAAGAATAAGTATCCCTTTCCGAGAATTGATGATCTATCTGATCAGCTTCAGGGTGTCACTACCTGAGCATACACCTTGGACGTGGACGGCACTCGAGAACCATTGCTGGTTCTCAAGCGAACCCTCATCCTGGCTGACTTCAAGCGGAAGACTAACTCAAACATACAAAGCTTAAAAACTAAATAAAAGTCATGAAACTTAAATAGAAATCTTTAAGTCAAAAGACAACTCCGAATAAAATAAATTATTCAACTCGCCATAAAATAGGCAACTTAAGTCTTTAAAACATTTAATAAAATAAATGATACATACTTTTCAACTATACTGACTATCTATGAAGCCTCTAACTGATAAAGATGGAAGTCGGGACAAGACCCACGACATCCTAACAATTGATATAACTGAAAGGTAAATGAAATCCTCCAGAAGCAAGGAGGCTCACCATAGCTAACTCGAACTCTCAGATGTATCAACGAAGCTCCTGTTGATGATACAGAATACCTGTGTCTACATCATAAGAAGATGCAGGCCAAATGGCTCAGTATGTGGAATGTACGAGCATGTAAGGGGAATTCTAAAGCATAACATAGGCTTGAAAAGAATCTGAAAGAAACTGAAGAACTTACCTGGCTCAACTCAACATAACTGAACTCATTTCAATATAAAGCAATTTAAAACATGTGCAATATAAAGGGAAGCTGTTTAAAAACATGAAGCCAACTCTGTGTGTATGCAAAGATACATATAACTCTGAGATGTATGTAAAAATATAAATAATCTGATGTATATAAAAATACAAAATACTGTTGTGGGAGTTTCTCTAACAGACAACCATCACATAAGAGCTATTGTGATGATACAATGATCTTCCTCACGCTGCCAGCGCATCCTATACCTTGCCACATGTATAGGCCCTGAACTACTAAGGGGATTCACTAGTCTATGTGAAAAGGAGTCATCTAAAAAGTATGACCATTTTCTACCCATGATGGGTTACATGGTTTATGGGGGCTGTGAGGTATCTGAACTCTCCCCCATATCGTGCTCAATACTACACCCAAAATATACTAGCTCTTTATGTTTTAAAAACATACTTCTTTATGTGATTTGAGATTAGTGCTAAAAAAACTTAGCTCAAAATCTATCTTGGAAATTTCAGTTTCCTCTCTTGCTTCATTTAGAAAGTGATTACTCTTTTCTGAAAATTGGCCCGTAGGCTCTTTGGAAATCTCAGCTTCCGTTCTTATTTAAACTAGTATACGTACCCGCGCGTTGCGCGGATATAATAATTTATTTATGAAAACATATATTGAGTTATAGTTTATATGGAATATAAATATCCAAAGAAAGTAAATAAACTATAAATTAAATGAAATACAATATATATTTTTTGAAATTATTTTAATCACAATATAAAGTTGTTTTGTGGTCCCAATAGTAATGTTTTTATAATTTTCATAATAAACATAAGCCACTTATAGTAATATATAATATAATATAATATAATATAATATAATATATAATAAAGTATTGTGTATGTGAAATACTCCCCTTCGTCTCATATTAGTTGATTACTATTAATTTTTTACGGTGCTTAAAAAACATAAATAAGAAGATTATTTTTCAAGTTCACGCCTCAAAATACTTCTTGTGAATTATACAAACAAATATGAATACTTTCAAAAATAAAATTAATTGCAAGAGTAGTAAAAAAAGTTATTAAAATTTTATTGATTTAGTAAAGTGATCAACTAATATAAATTAATTATATTTAGTATTATGATAAATTAATATGCAATAATTATATTTAATATAATAATAAACTAATATTCCATCAGTTCACTTTTAATTGTCATGTTTTTTTTTAGAGTAAAACATAAGAATTTTGACTAACAATTTATGATATTTTTTTTCATCATATTAATATGCAAATAATGGCTATTTGTAGTACTTTTCGTATTGTTTTGAAATATACAAATATTTTTCTTAAAATATCGATTTAATATAATCATATTTTATTTTAAAAATTGGTAAAATAAACTTTCTAAAATTAAATATGACAATTAAAAGTTGACGAAGGAGGTATAAAATGAAGGAAGTAATATAAAAGAATACAACTTTTTAGGTATATTGATTAGTGTGCCTTGATTGTATAGTAGACTTCAATGTATGCACACATTTCAATATTTCCATCTTTCTTTCGTTATTTTTAATTAAACAAAATGGCAATGGGCCAATTTATTGAATAACAAAAAAATGTAAACAAAAAGTTGGAGGAAAATGTCAGGTAGTAGAAAATAAGAAAAAACAAAATGAAAACTTAAAAAAATTGGATCTATCTAGATTGTGGAAGGAGACCAAACTTGCACCGATAGAATATGATTTTTGAGATTAGGAAAGTGAGCTTCCTCTTTAGATCGTCGCCGGTCAGAGCTACTCCGTCATCTATTAGCTCATGTGTGCTTTTCCATCTCACTGTAAGTGTTGTTCCTTTGTTTTCTTTATATTCTTCTCTTACCCTTTATCAATTGGGTTTTTTCTAATTGTTAATTTTTTCATATCTTCCTTGTAAAAAGTTTCTTGGAAGAACGAAATCTCTAATTTGAATCTCATCACCATAACTTTGGTAAAAAAAATCTCATTTCAACATTTGAACATTCCAATTAGAACAAAGCCTAAGAAAAACTTTATTCAAGCAGGTATCACACTGGAAATAAGATTTTGATTAGAATTGTATTTACATCTAGAATCATTCCGTCAACAATCGTATGTTTCGTGAAATGGTGAGTTCATTTTTTTCTTTATTTTTTTGAATTGACCTTGTTTAATAAGAACTTCGATTAAAGAGTATTAACATGCATCAACTTCTTGTTGTGGAGTTAATTTTGCAAAATTTATCATTTGATGTCTTCTTCAGCTCTATTTTGCGTCGATGTTACTCTATTTGGGATGGTCAACTAAGGTATTAAATTTTAAATTTAATTTAATTAGTACATGCATGCTATAACATAATTGTAATAAGCTTATGTTGATTCAGATTTTGTTATTTTGCTTGGTGATTGAGAGTTTATGATGTGGTTGTATAAGTTTTTATGTTCTTTGCAATGTCAGGTTAGATCTCTATCTTTGTTTTTTTTTATGCTTAACCATGTTGTTATAGTAGATTGTGATGAATTATTGCTTCTTGAAGGAGTAGGGAAATGATTATTTGTTTTTAAATTTTCGAAAAGATGTCTTACATCTAAAAATATGTAGTTAAGCTATTTTATTTTCCTCTCAATTTGGTTCTTTTTACAGCAGTCTCTATATTTTAATCTGATTTATATTGATATTTTCTGTAGTTTCAATGTGCTTATACCTATATTATGATTCATGGTTCAGATGAAGAGCTTAATGATCTAATTCATATGCTTGATAGATTATAATTCAGTTTACTAAAATTAACATAACGTAAATAATTGTGTGTTTAGTTGGTTAAACTTATTGGAGTCTA